CCGGCGCGGCGGGTATGATGACCGGCGTGGCGGCGGATACGACGATCGGCGCGGCGGCGGATACGACGATCGGCGCGGCGGCGGGTACGACGACCGGCGCAGCGGGCGCGAGACATACGAGCCGCGTATTCGGCGCGGGCCCAACTCGGGCTCTGCTGACCGGCGCCAGCACCGTCCGTACTGATCGGTCACCCACGCCCTCGTCCTCCCTGACCGACCGAGCGACGAGGCAGTATCCTGCTTACGACCCTTAAACATGTCCTCATCCCATGCCCTCGATGCCGCCGGGCGACCGCGACCACCGCGACCATCGTCACCTTTGTCACCACCGCCATCAGCCACACGAGCCTCGCCGCCCACCACGACTCTCCCCCCCTCACATCACCATGCTGCGTATGGCGGTGACACGGGCAGCAGCCCTGGCTAGCACACCAAGTACGCCCCCGTCCCCCCGTCCCCTTTCTCCCGTCCTCCTCCCCCCCCCTCCCCCCCCCTCCCCTACCCCCACCTCCCTCCACTGTGTCGGGTACATGGGAGTGTGTGTGGGGGAGGGAGTGGGTGGCCGTGGGGAGGAGGCGGGATGTCCCCCTTCCCCTCCTTCCCCTCGCCCTCTCCCATACCCCGACCAAGGGGAACAGAGACAGTAACAGTCTCAGGCAGTGCAGGGGGGGTATGTGTGGTGGGTGGGTGGGGCACTCACATGGGTCGTGGGTGTGTAGGTGCAATGGTGGGTGCAGGTTGGGTCCGTATGGCCTCCAAGAAGGCCGGTGGTACCACCAAGAACAACAGAGACTCGCCTGGTCAGCGACTTGGCGTGAAGAAGGTACGATGGTTGACTGTGGCTGGATGCGCATGTGTGTATGGGTGGGTGGGGGGGGTGGATGTGGGTGCTTGTGTGTGAGGCTGTACTCATGATGCTGATGATGGTGCTGATGATGATGCTGATGATGATGATCATGGCGGACTGATGTGGTGATGGCCATGGTGGGATGTCGACTATACTCTGGTGGCCGACTATACTCGGGGGGCCGACCATGCTCTGGTGGCCGACCATGCTCTGTTGGCCGACCATGCTCTGGTGGCCGACCATGCTCTGTGGCCGACTATGATCTGGTGGCCGACTATGATCTGGTGGTCGACGATGATGTGGTGGCCGGGGCCGACAATGCAACGGCGTGACGGCGCGAGACAGTTTGGCAACGAGAAGGTCGTGCCGGGCAACATCATCGTGCGCCAGCGCGGTACCAAGTTCCATCCAGGCGTCAATGTCGGCATGGGCAAGGACCACACGCTCTTTGCCCTCGTCGACGGCTACGTCCGCTTCTCGCACAACAAGGTCACCGATCGCAAGTACGTCTCCATCGTGGACAAGCCGCGCTGGATCAAGACCAAGCGCGAGTTCAAGGGCAACACTCCGCAGCCGACCTCCTCAACGTCCACCCAGCCATCCGCATAAATCCCCGTCCCTCCCTCCCTCCCTCCCTCCTGCCATCTGTGGATCCCTCCCTCCAAAATGCCACCAATAGACGCCACCTTCGGAAAACCGGTCGCTCGCCACAAAACCACGGACCGCCACGTCCCTCCCCTCCCTCCCCCACAGCACCCGCACCGGCACCTCACTCCGCCCCCCCCCCTCCCGTCTCACCCCACCCCCCCACCCCTCATCTACAACCACCATGTCCGCCTCTGCCCCCCTGCTCTCGCTCTCGGTGGCCAAGTGCCCCTCGTCCGACGCCGCCCTCACCAACATGGTGTACCTGTCCCCGGCTGACGCTGCTGTCGTTGACGCGGCGGCGGGCAAGTCGCATCTTGCTGGAGCACCGTCGCGGAACATCCGCCTCATCTCGCAGCATGCTGGTCGCGGACCGTTTGTCTTTGTCTACGCCGCCGACCCTAAGATTGCTGACGGAACCGTCGGCCTCTCGGGCATGCAGCGGAAGACGGCGCAAGTCTCCATGCGCGAGCTCCTGGCCGTCGAGGTCTACGCGCCCAAAGTGGCCGGCTCGGTCACGCTGGGCATGATCGAGCTCGAGGTCTCGTTCCGCAAGAAGACCGACGCCACCGACGAGGAGCTCAACACCGACGTCATGTCCGCCGGCTTCCTCCGCGACTTTGTGGGTCAGGTCTTCACCGTCGGCCAGGACGTGCTCCTCGACTACCGCGGCATCATGCTCGTCCTGCGAGTGGCCGACCTCCGCCGCGACGGCGCGGCCGACGCTGCCGGTCGCCCGCCGCGTGACGGCCTGGTGGTCGACGCGACTCAGATCGTGTTTACCTCGTCGAACGACTCTGCGGCCCGGGTCAAGCTCTCCGGCGACGCCGCCGCCGGGCCGTCGCTCTTCAAGTCGGACTGGAACTTTGAGGATCTTGGCATCGGCGGGCTCGACGATGAGTTTTCGTCCATCTTCCGCCGTGCCTTCTCCTCGCGCACCTTTTCGCCGTCGCTCATCAAGAAGCTCAACATCCGCCACGTCAAGGGCGTCCTCCTCTACGGGCCGCCCGGCACCGGCAAGACGCTCATGGCGCGGCAGATCGGCAAGATGCTTAACGCGGTCGAGCCCAAGATCGTCAACGGGCCCGAGATCTTCTCCAAGTACGTTGGCGACTCGGAGAGGAACATCCGCGAGCTGTTTGCGGACGCCGAGGCCGACCAGGCCCAGTACGGTGACTCCTCGCCGCTGCACATCATCATTTTCGACGAGATGGACGCCGTTGTCCGGCAGCGCGGCTCGCGGTCGGGCGACACAGGCGCCGGCGACCAGGTCGTCAACCAGCTCCTCTCCAAGATTGACGGTGTCGACGAGCTCGACAACGTCCTCATCATCGGCATGACTAACCGCAAGGACATGCTCGACGAGGCCATCCTCCGTCCGGGCCGCCTCGAGGTCCACATCGAGGTCTCGCTCGCCGACTACGAGGGCCGCATCCAGATCTTCAACATCCACACCAAGTCGATGCGTGAGAATGGCCTCCTCGGGACCGACGTCTCCATCGAGGAGCTCGCGGCGGCGACCAAAAACTACACCGGTGCCGAGATTGCCGGCGTCGTCAAGTCGGCGTCTTCATTTGCCCTCTCGCGCCACGTTGACGTGGCAGGCATGGGCGCCGGCGCCGCCGCCGGAGGCGACCCGGCCGACACCCTCCGTGTCACCCGCGACGACTTTCTGCGCGCCCTCGAAGAGGTCCGCCCCGCCCTCGGCTCCTCCGACGAGGACTACAATCTCATTATGCGCGCCGGCATGATCGAGTACGGCCCGGCGTTCGCCGGCCTCATGGACGCCGCCTCGCTCCTTGTCCAGCAGATCAAGCGCTCGGCGCGGACCTCGCTCGTCACCGCGGTCATCGCCGGTGCGCCCGGCTGCGGCAAGTCGTCGATCGCCGTCAAGCTCGCCGCAGACTCGGACATTCCCTTTGTCCGCGTCATCTCGGCTGACAAGTTTGTCTCGCTCTCGGAGCTCTCCAAGTGCGACCGCATTGTCCAGACCTTCCTCGACGCCTACAAGTCGCCGGTCTCGGTCCTCATCATCGATGACATCGAGCGCATTCTCGGCTACTCGGCGCTCGGCGCCCGCTACTCCAACCCGGTCCTGCAGACCCTCATGGCGTACCTCAACAAGCCGCCGCCCGAGGGCCACTCGCTCATTGTCTTTGCCACCTCGTCCTCGCTGCAGGCCCTCGAGGCGCTTGGCCTGCTTAGCATCTTTGATGGTGTTCTCTCCGTCCCCTCGCTCACCACTGGCGCCGAGGTCACCGCCGTCCTCGACGGCCTCGACGCCTTTGAGCCTGCTGCCCGCGCCCGCGTCGCCGCAAACTTCTCCGGCTCGGTCCCTATCAAGAAGCTCATCATGATGGTCGAGATGGCGCGCGAGGCCGTCAACCCGGCTGACAAGTTTGAGGAGCTCCTCCTCTCCAACCAGCTCGACGGCATGGTCAAGCTCAACTAACACACACACGCACGGCCCGCAGTTCTGCCCTTAACCCCCCCCCCCCCTCATCGTGAGCCCAATGAGTGTATCAGCCCCGCGGCGGCTTCCGCGGCTCGCTGCTGTGCTGCGATGTGCGCGAGAGATGGTGCCGACGCCGCGTCCCGCTTGGCGTCCT